ATCACTGCTAGTCTACTGCTATATTTAAAAGAGCTCCCCCTCCACTCTTTTAGCAGCTCCCCACACCCCGTGTTAAATGCTACAGCTAGCTAGCACTTTGGTAAATAACAATGAGAGATAATGCCTTCCTCTAATTGTTTAAAATGATAGTGTTTCTGAGGAAGGGTTTCCAGCTGTTTTGTCTGATTTAATCAAGAACCCTTAACCTTATTATCTCAGAATTTTGTTCCCCATCCATTTGCAATTCTCTTTATAAAGCACAGAAGGCTGTGACAATTGCCTCACCATTTGATAGGGACCTCTGCCTGGCACAGTGCCCTAGTTGGCACAGAAAGGGTTAGGATTGACCTGTTAGATGAGAAGTTTCTTCTTCTCATGTGTTCTCAGGAGTGTTTCCAACTACTTTGGCTAGTAGATGAGTGAGAAATTCACTCTAAAATTCAGCTTGCTTCATCTCAGAAGGCGTGAGCTTAGCTGGCAACAGAAATAGCCTCATCAGTTCTGAGCCTGGAATAGAAGGCATCTTCCATTCTTACCTGAGGTGATGGAATACAACCTGGGTTGCACACAGAAACACCTGAGGCTTTTCAACTAGAGCAAGGCCAGACTGCGTGCATATCAAAGTATATCAGAATCTTGGGAGTGGGATCCAGGCGTGGGTATTTTTAAAAATACCCCTATAGATACCAAAGAAGCCCTGGTGATTGCCTGGAGGAGCCTTACAGAACGCTGTAACAGAAGGGGCATTTCTTGATTTTGAAGTTAAGGGAAATTATGTCCTGAGAGGTCAAAGGTTGTCAAAAGGTCAGGGAAAAGAAAAGGCAAAATTCAAACCCAGGTTTTCTACATCCACAGTCTATGCTTCTTATGCCTCATAAAAACTAGAAAGCCCAGAGTCACTATTATGTAATGGCAAAAATAAAATGGAATGAAATAAAACAAGAAGAGCATTTTATTGATATTAATATCAGTGAGAAAGAAAACTCAGGAAGCAGAGCATCCAATTGCATCATTATGACCTTTGGGAATAAGCTTTTGGGAATAGTAAAAATCCTTATAGTCATTTCCTATAAATTGTAAATTTGCTGGCAATTTCCTTTGAATACTGAAATGTGTGCTAATTAAAAGTGAATCATCTCAGTGCCTAATTTAGAAAATGGAACAAAGACTGGACTGAACTGGAAGCAGAGCTATTTGGGGCAATTTGAATTAAAAGCTAAAGCTCTAATAGAAAGTTGACAAGGATCTTCCAATCATTTTAGCTGGTATCAGGCAGGCGTCCTTTCTCCACATCAGCCACACGCAGTGTGCAAGGAAGGGGCAGGGCAGTATGGGGACTGGAGGAGATGGAAAAGCTCCTAGCAGTTGAAATTGAGCTTCAAAAGGGGGGCCCTGGTGCAGAGGAGGAGGGATGTGTTATCAAAAGAGGAAAGAGAAAGTTTTCCAGGAGAGCCGACATTTTTAGATCAAGTTCCAAAGAAGGTGATAGCAAGGGAAAGAAAAGCAAATGTTAAAAAAAAACACGGGACTATGTCAAACTAAAAAGCTTTTGAACCTCAAAAGAAGCCAGCACAAAAACAAAAAGCAACACATGAACTAGGAGAATGTATTTGTACCTTACACATCTGACAAACCTTTAATTATAAAATATATAAATAATTCATATAACTCAACAACAAAAATACCAAACAATCTGTTAAAGAAATGGGCAAAAGTCTTAAATATGCATTTCTCCAAAGAAGACATTCAGGTGATCTATAGACCTATGAAAAACTGTCCAACATCATTTATTATAAGGGAAATGCAAATCAAAACCATCGTGAGATATCACCTCAACCTTCGAGAATGGTGGATAGTCATGAAGAATGGAAACAAAAATTGCTGGTGATGATGGATGTGGAGAAAAAGGAACACTCGATCACTGTTGGTGGGAACGTAATTTGGTGCAACTTTTATGGAAAACGGTATGGAAGTTTCCTTAAAAAAATAAAAATGGAAATACCATATGATCCACAATACCTCTGCTAGGTATTTGCAATCAATTTGAAAACTCTGATGTCCACGCTCCTGTGCTCACTGCAGTCACTCGAGATAGCCACATCAGGGAACCAACTTAACTGTCTATCAACAGAGGGCTGGATAAAGAAATGGTGGGTCACGCACTAAACGGGAAACTTCTCAGCCATTAAAAAACATGACATGATGCCTTTGGGGATAAAATGGCTGGAGCATGAGGTGAGATGCTCGGTGAAGTAAGTCAGAAAGTGAAGACAGGTACTTGTTGGTTTCATTTATTTGTGGATTATTAGTAACCAAAGAACAAAAACTGGCAAAACACAGCAAAAATAAGTGTTAGACTTTGTGAAAAACATACTGGTTACCAGAGGGAATGGGGGAGGTAAGAGAGCGTGAGAAATAAGGGAAGGGCACTGGCGTGGGGCTTTGGTGGAAGGTGAGTGAGGCTTAGGAGGGAAGACGCACTCCCCAAAGTGCCGTTATGTAAACGATGGACAAATAACACAATTTGATAAGATCACATGAAGAATCATGTGGGAAGGTGGCACTTGATCCAGAGGATTCCACAGGGCAGGGGTCTGCTTGGTACCTGTGCATACTGAGAAAACACTTAGGAAGAGCGTGATCCAACAGCCAGGACACGTCATTATTCCTGACTTTCAGCTGCCCTTCCTCGGACTCTTTGGCTGCTGATTTTACCTCTGGCAACCACACAAAACCGAAAGACCAAGGAGATTAAATTAAAAAATGAACTCATTATGAGCCAAACTACCCCAGAGTCTTTGGGATTCACGTCTTTTTTGACTAAAGTAAGCAGAGACATGGTCGTTTGGAATCAAATCATCCTTTGGCTTCCTGGACACTGTGTCCTCTGGGTCTTCCTTGCTCACACTGTCTCTTTGGCTCCATACCCTCACTCAGTGGGCTTTTTCTAACTCCTGGCTTCAGCTTCTGGTCCTGGGCCAAATAGCTCCAAATCTCCCACCTTGACCTCCCTCCACCTTCAGCTTGGGATGCTCAGCTGCCTTTGGATCTGTTCACTGTGACTCCTGAGCTCAACCTGTCAAAGAGAAACTCACATCCTCTCTTCATACCGCCCCCCCACCCAAGAATGTTCCTTCCCATCCTGTCTCTTGCTCTCCCTGCGCCATCAGTCTCCAAGCCTGGAGTTACATAACTAACAGATGCCTCTCTGTAGCTCCCAAGTCAGCAGCCAACAGATCCCAGGCATCTTCTTCTGCAGTAAGTCAGCGCTTCCCCACTCCACCGCCACCCCTGAGACAAGCCGCCTTACCGCCCCTCTGAGTCAGCATCAAGTCTTGCCCTTCATGGTTTCTAGCCAGGCTATTGAACCCCAGGGACCCGCTTTGGAAATGGAAAGGACCCAGGATGGCTTATGAAAGGACAGATTCCAAGCTTGTTTATAAAATTGTTCACTGACTAGATCTATTTTACCTATTTTGTTTTTGTCTTCATTGAACAAATATGTTCCTTATTTATACAGTTACTGAATTAATACGTTCTAGACCCCTACTGTGTGCCAGGTAGCTATATATGTGTACACACGTACACACACACACACATGTCTTTTGCTGTTTCCTGAAGAGGCTACAGCCCAGGGGCTTGATAGAACTTAGGGTAGTTGAATGAGAACTCGAAGGGAAAAGTGCTTCAGGAAGCAGCAAATTGAGCTATTGGAGGTGTAGGGGAGAAAACCGGGAGCAAGTGAGGTTTCATGGGAGAGAGAAATACGCAGCAGTGCACTGAAGGGGAAGCGCTGGCCAATCACTCGTTATCTGGTCTTGCCCTTTACCCGGACTGAGCAGGTCTCCCGGGGCCCACTGCACACCGGCTCCTCCTGCTGGGTCCATGACTCACTCTGAAGGGCCCTCCACCCTCCTCCGGTCTCTGTGAGGCCTCCCCAAGTCTTTGCTAATTCAAATTCTGCTTTTTTCCAAGTCCACTGCAAAACTCATTTCCCCCAATCCCTTCCTGGCCCTGCAACTTCTTCCTCTTCTCCCAGCCCCGCACAGGGCATTGCTGAGGCAGAAAGTTCGCACCCCTCCTAGGACGAAGATTCCCAACTCTTTGTGTTTGGGTCACAGGTGACTTTGCAGGTGTAGATGGGGATCCTGGAATCTGCTTTTGAAAGCCACATCACTCAGGCACAAAAGGATCCTGAATAGCTTTGGGGAACACTGTTTGGAGCTCGGTGGCTCCTCGAGTTTCTTCACACACAGGTTGTTATTAAAGGACAGACGCCAAGTTTGTTTATAAAATTATTCACTACCTAGTTCTACCTTGTCGTATCCATAGCATAACCACGTGCCCATGAGCCCGGCGCCTGGCCAGGTGTGCGCACCTCGCTGAATGTCCCAGGCCCCCCCCCCCGTGCCCCCCGCGGGGACATCCCTGCACCAGGATCACGACCCTCACGGGGTCGGGAAGTGGCACCCAGGGGGACAGCACCGCCCTCTCGGAGGCTCACTCCCGACACGCAGAATCTCTCTGAAGGTCATCGGTACCTAAGAGGAGGCCACAGGCTCTGTCCTCTCAACACACTGCGCCACCTGCTCCCCAAACGACCCCCGTGGCTGAAACCCGAGGAGCCTCCGGGGGCTCCCGCCGGCCCCCGACGCTGCACACGGAGGTGCGGCTGCGAGCACGGCCGTGCCGACCTCCGAGGTCCACGCCAGCGACCGGGCTCCCGCAGCCCGGGCCCGCCATTGGAACTGACCACGACGTGGCTCCAGACGGCCCTTCGCCCCGCCCCCGGCCCCGCCCCGCCCGGCCAGGCCCCGCCCCCGGCCCCGCCCCCGACCCGTCCGCCCCCGCCGAGGACCCGCCCCCGGCCCCGCCCCCGGCCCCGCCGAGGACCCGCTCCCGCCCCGCCGCTCGTGGGCGGCGAGGCGGAGCCCGGCTGTCCTGCGGGGGCGGGGCCCGGCCGGCGGCGACGTCTGACGTCAGCGCGCGGGGACGCCCCACGCGTCGTCCGGCGCGGAGCGGGCCGGTGCTGCCCGCGGTCGCCGGTATCGTTGCGTGAGCGGCGGCGCCCGCCCGCTCCCCCCCGCCCTCCGCCCTTCGCCCTCCGCCCTTCGCCCCGTCCGGCCTCCGCGGCCCGGCGCCGGCGCGTCATGGTGCCGTCGGCGCGCCCGGCGCGGCCCCGCTGAGCGTCGTGGGGGCGACGACCGCGGCCCGGGGTCACCATGCCCACCCGTGAGTGGCCGGCCGGGGGCGGGCGGGCGGGCGGCCGGGGCGGGGGGCGGCTCGCACAGCGGCTCCCCGGGGCGTCGGGCCGGGCGGGGGCCGCGCGGGCAGGAAGAGCCGCCGCCGGCCTCCTGGTTTCGTTTCGGCCCGGCCGGCCCGGGGCGGGCGCGGGAGGGAAACTGAGGCCCAGGCCGGGACGGCGCGCGGGCCGGGGGTGAGCGGGCGGTGGCGCCCGGAGCCGCACGACGCGGGGCCCGCGCTCGTTAACAGCCCCGGCGCCGCCGCGGAACTTCGTGGAGACGCCGAGAAATAACTGAGGTCCCGGCGCCCGCGCCGCCTCACTTCCTGGGGCCCCGGCTCCCCGCCCCGCGCCCCTGCAGCCTGGACTCCCTCGGGGCTGGAGCTCCGGGCGTTGGGGCGCCCTCCGGGGACTGCTCGGGCTCCGACCCTCGAGGGAGGGGCCGGGCCGCCCGCCCGGGTCGCGCGCCGCCGGCCGCCGGTGCCGGCTCAGGCGCTGCTCGCCTTGGGACGCGGCGCTGGGGCCCCGCCACCCGCACTTTGAATAAGTGGCCTGTGTGTCTTTGAGGCCCTTCAGGCTTGGGGATCGCTGAGTGTGGGGGCTGTGGGGACAGATGGGCCCCCGCAGCGCTGCTGACGACCTGTTGGAGTGGGACCCGCGACCCGGAGAACCCAGCGTGCTGCTGGAGACCCTGTGGCCGAGCTGTGTGTGTGCAGATCAGAGCAGCCCTCCTGGGCCGTGAGGAGTCAGCATGTTGGGCTAGGGAGTCTTTTAAGTAAATGTTCCACACCTGCCAGCGTGTTAATAATTAATTCAGCTTTCTTGGAATTCACGATTCCTCATAGTCCGCGTCTTCGTAGACATCTGGGTCAGTGGATTTCCAGATCAGCCTCAGGGATGTTTTCTCCAGTAGTGGACAAAGAGGAATGAGTTCATGAAACTGGAAGGGTTTCTGTAATGCTGTAGCAAATCTTCAGTTACTCTTGATGTAAAGATTACTTTTAACTTCTCAGAATCGAGGGAAAGTTGGATTTTGCTCCAATGCTGGGCTTCTGTGTATGCAGTAAATGACTGGTGCAGTAAGTTTATGTTTTGATTTTATTCTTTTAGATTGGAGGACTATCATCATCGTTATTGTCAGCTTATTATTTCTAAATTCACATTCGTGTTATTTAGTGAATATTTGAGACTAGCACTGTTTTAGTCTTTTACTTTTCTGAGAAAGCAAAGAGGAAGGTGATAAATACCAGTTCTTCAAATTTAAGGCTTCAGGTGGGATTTATTGGTAAAATGACATTATGAGCATCCTTTAAAATTGAACGATTTTTTAAATTTTGTTTTAAGGTTATTTAGTTCTGTAGAGTGGCTGTAGAAAACTTGTATCTTTTAAAATGTATGATTTACTTTACAAATAATGTAAGGATGAACCAGGGTGTATTTTGCATAGTTATAAATGCAGCTTTCATGACCTAGATTGGATGCAAGCGAAATGTTTCAGGTCAGTCCCACATTATTGTTTACGACGGTAGTTTCTGTGTTTTCTTAAGGTGTGGTACTGATTGGTGGTGCCCCTGTGACATCAGGGGTGTTCATATTGCTTCTTCTTTTATAGTCCAAATCATCAGTTTTGCTGGGATAGCGCATAGGCAGTAGGACTGTTCAGAAATTCTGGGCGTAGAATACATTTCCAGCATATTCACTACTTAAGGAGAAACCGCAAAATTATAACCTTATTTAGGGAAATTTTTTTTAAGAAATCCCCTCCCCTTCCAAATAAGCTACTTTTTTTTTTTTTAAATGTCAGCCAAGTTAACATCTATCAGCTCAGGCAGTTAATCATCAGGGGGTTAATAATAATAAATGTAATGCTTTTCATAAAATTCAAACTGCTGAAGATGACCACCATAGTCTCTCAGGCTCCATAACTCTGAACATGACCTTTGTTCCAACACAGATTTCAAGACCGTCTAAATGAGCTTTCAAATCTAATCTATAACCTATAATCTGATGCATCATTTTTCTAAAGGCCTGTATTTCATCCTCCTCCATTCAAAAACCATTAGGAAACATTTTGAGCATAAAGATTTCAAATCCTGAATCAGAATTTCAGTGGAAATGTTAAAACGCTGTAATCCAATAATTTTATTGTATTTTGTATATCAGGAGATTGAGATGCAGGGAATTTCAGCAACTTGGCTGAGGTCACACATAGAGGAGAAGCAGGACTTGCACACAGATGTTGCTGCTGTACTGAGTTACAGCGAGCTTAGGATGTTCATTTTCCCCTGGCACTAAGTTAATAATTTATCTTTTTTTCCTTCCCTGGAGTAGCATTAAGACAGAGGAAACCTTGGTCAAACTTTGAGCTTACAGGAAAATTTCACATTTTGCCTTTGCCTTTGCCTTGCCACAGTGATTTGTGTGAAGAAGGCTGTGGATTGTACTTGTTTGCCCAGTACATGCTTGGCTGTACAGGCACAGACTTCTTAAACTTTTTAATAAACTACTGTGAAAGGGGTTCCTTAGTTTGCAGATAGCTGACTTCAAAACAGGTCCAGTAAAATATACTCTTTCATTGTATTTGAAAGTTAATATATATTGGCTAAAGGAAATGGAAGCCCTTAATCATTGCTTTCTGTGAAACTATCCTTTCTAGTGGTTATGCTTACTTTTCACACTTAGCTAATGGCCAGATCACTGTATGGGCAGATTGGTCAGTTCTGTGGTGATGGGGGCACATCAGGCTTCCTGTCTGTTTTGTGGTGAGGCTTGACTATATTTGAGTAATTTTTCAATCCATTCGTATGAGAGAAGAGCAGGATTTAGATGCTTTATCATGTGTGGGTGCTAGCTGAAGTGTTTCTCCCTAGAAACACATTACAAGGAGACTTAACCTAAACAGTCCTGTTACTGGCTTTTGAATTTTGTTCACATTCTTTCCCTCTCTCTTCATCTCTTCTGCTCCTACCCCACCCCATCTCCCGACCTCCTCCTCCCCTTCCCAGCACAGTGTGCATTGCCAGAGTTACAGCGGAAAGATTTCCTTTCTCACAGTTACCTTTGGCTTGGCACTGTTTCGGTTATGCCAGATCTCATCTTTCAGTGTGTTCCTGCTTGTGGGGACATGAGGCTGCACTGAAGATGACGTCGTGGTGGGCGATAAAGCTGAAGAGGGAGATGGGAGGGAGCCAAAAGTTTGAAGTATTTTATATGCTTAAAATATATAACATATATAAGCATATATTTACATACTTTTATATAAAAGTATTGTGTCTCTATGACATGTATTTCACCTGGCTGAAATCCTGATCACGCTGTCACGAGCATGGTTACAGCGATTGTCTGTTTTATTTTCTTTGGTGCCTTGGGGGACACTGACCTCCCCATCCAGCTTAGGCGATGGCCTGAGTTATCGCCCAGGCTTCAGTATTTTGAATTTACTGACACAGGTCTTTTATTTTTGTTACCTACCACCGTCCTTTATTTCCCCTCTCCCTGTCTTCCCTTAACCTCAGAGTACTCACTGCGTTATTAATATCTATTAGTGTTTGTACGTGTCTTCCTCTGTCAAATTGTTAATTATCTAAATGTTCAGTGTTATTTTTTGTCATTCCGACTTGCTTTCTACATATAATTTCCTTGAACTCCATCCATTTTGCTATGAATGGCTGCATTTCCACTTTCCTTGCAGCTGAATTCCATAATATTGCACAGTGAGGACATCCCACATGGTCTTGATCTGGTCATCTGTTCCGGCTGCCCCCATGTCCCGGCTGTTGTGACCAGTGCTGCAACGGACATTGTAGCGCTCACAGTTTTTTTGTGTTGATGGTTTTATGTCCTTTGGATGCCCAAGAGTGGGGTTGCTGGTCACTTTCCCCACTGACTGCCCCAGTCTGCATTCCCACCACAGGGTCGTTGGTTTCTCTCTCTCCCATCCTCTCCAGCATTGCTGTGGGGCGGGGCCTTGTAATATGTGCCATTCTCCTGGGCATGAGATGCCCTCGCATTGTGGTTTTCATCTGCATCTCCCTCACTGGAAGTGAGGATTAATGTTTTTTTGTGTATCTGTTGGCCTTTGGGGTACCTCCTTTGGTGACTGGTCTAGTCGTGTCTGCTGCCCTCTTATTAGTTGGGCGGGTTTATTGACGGATTGCGTACGTTTTTTATATGCCTTGGATATTAACCCCTTGTCGGTTATGCATTAACTATTTTCTCCCACTCAGTAGGATGTCTTTTTAAGTGACTATTTTAAAGGCATACTAGCAGTTTCAGCTTATAGGTTACTTTATAAAAACATATAATTTGTTGTTAGTAGTAGGAATTAATTATTGAATATTGACTTTGTGCAGGTAGTATATTTTGTGCTTTATGTGAAACTATCTTATTTAATTATCTCTTGAGGAAGGCCCTGTTTACCCTGTTACATAAGTGGAGTGCTCAGGGAATTTAAGCACCATAGCTGTTAGAGTAAGGGCTGCAGTTTAGAGCTGGGATTGGAACTAGATGGGTCTGACTTCATTCTATGCTTTCCCATTACTACACTGCCCTGAGCCAGGCAGGAGTTGACTCTGCTTTCGTCAGGTTCCATCAGTTTCTTTTAACATTGTCACTTTTCTTTGGCACGGTGCCTGATGACGTAATAGGAGCTTGGTGACTGTTGAATAAATGAATGGTTAACTGGAGTCAGAAAAGTTAACTTTTCTCCATTAAAGCAGTATTATAAAAGTTTCATAATTTACGATTAACAGACATACCTGTAACATTTGTGAGGCCTGAGACAAGAAGACAAACGAGGCCTGCAAATCAGAGTTTCTCAAACTTTACACTTGTCTTGGATCAAATACTTTCTTGTTTGGTGGGTGGGGTGTTTGTCCTGGGTTGTGACCAGAAACTGGCCTTCTTTCTCAATCAGGTGCCCTATAGCCTGCATACTCCCCAAAGATTGCCTTCTACGCCTAGAGACCCTGGAAGCTTGGGGGCCTGATCC